CGATATTTAACAAAACAGCAAGTGCCTCCAATGTCTCAAGGCATGAAAGCTTGTTCGATTTAGGGGACGCGAGCGAACCAACTGCTCGGAAACTGAGCCCTGGGTTTCTTAGTGACTTTGTGAAAAGGCTTTTGACCCCAAAAAAAACGCTAAACAAGTACGCCCCTTTTGTTCTTAGCGGAAAGGCCGTCAACAGAAGTAAACTCAGCCGTGAAGTTCTTGGCGGTCAGGTTCTCAAACCCCCCAAAGGCTCCCCCAAAACTCGAGTTCCTGGGCCTTGGCTCTGGAGTGGTATATGCACGTTAAGCAATCGAGCCCTGCTGAGCCTCGACCGGCCGATTTCTTATACAGCGCTCAGGCTATATCTGGGCCAATTGTTTTTTGCGCCCGGAAGCCACACCAACAGCTCCTGATGGTCGGACCTCCGGGATCCCAGGCCAACGCTGACTTCGCAACGTCGATCTCAAGTCCGAGGGCCGGGTGGTCTCTTCCTAGCGCTCAAATCAGGGCATGTCTCGAAGGAAACGCAAACCCATACACCGGGGATGCAATAGACCCGCTGCAAATCAGCCGACACTTTCCTACTTACATGGCCAGCATCTTCTTAAGCACAGCAGTGGGTGGATTCAAATGGGCGCGGCCCCTGGCTGAGTCTTTCCCGCGCCATATTGAAACTGTTGGCCTAGAGAATTGGCATCCAGGATGATTGGGCATGAGTGCTCAATGATCAAACTATACCGCGGCTACCGCAAATATTGTCCATCCAATGTTTGATGCTTTATATTATATACCGGTTTTCATGTACCACGAGAACATGATGCTATATATGTGCTTTTGTAACACAACCTTTGCGGCCTCTTCGGCCCCTGACCTGGGCTATCGAAATGTCTTCAGGAATTTTAGAAAGAACCTGAATGGTACGGACACTGATTAAAAGCTATCTCTGAGAAGGGCCTTTTTTGGACGGGTTGATGGCACAACTGGTCTCAACAGAACTATTGTAAAAATGCTACGCCCAGCACTGCTTTCCCACCTGAACAAGCTTTGCTGTTGTCATAAACAAAACCATCAGCTTGATTGCCCAGCGGCCCTCGAAACATATGGGACCCTTGTTGGTTCATTGAATGCCGGGGAACTGACTCAAACAAACGGAAGCAATCAGGGCAAATCGTGATAGCTCGCCTGAAACCAGAGGTTTTCTTGGTCGAACTCCCGCCTGCGGTGGCACTCGCTCGCCTGCAGCTGGCATTGGGAAAGCCGGGTTTGACCGGGATGGCATGTAGAGATCCATTTCCGCCAACCATTTCTGAGCGCGTTCCCCAGGAAAAAAGAAAGAGATACATAATTAAATGAGTTATCGACCATCTTGCTTACACATGATAAAAGGCGCACCTTTTTGGTTGAAACTAAAAGAAATGAAGAGTCCCTTCTTGCCCTCCCCAAACAAAGCGCCGCGTGCACGGCGCAAGGTCCGAAGCATGCTTTGGCCATGGCAGGCGTGAGCTTTGTTTACAGCAGCTGCCAAAGTCCCTGTTGCCCAGTGGTCGCAAAAAGCATGCGCCCCTCTTGGAGTCAGAAGTTGACCATTTTTGCCTTTGGCCCAAAAGAGTGCGTCACTTGGCGCACAGTCCCTTGTGAAATGTGAGCGGCCTGATTCCTGGAATCACGAAGAAACACGGGAATGGTTTCCGTCTCCAGCCCGGGCGAGTGCCGAAAGCCGGCAGGGACGCCAATTTAGCCACAAGGCTCCCAAAAAACGGATCCATCGAAGCTGACAACCGCTCCCCCCCCCCTGACCCAAATGGCAACGTCGCTACAGTCCAGGCTTCCCGGGAACATGGAAGCATGGCTTTCGGCGCACGGACACGTGGGACCTAGAGACCCTTCCGAATGTGCGGGGGTGGGTCGAAAGGCTTTTCGCGCTTCTGCCCGTCTTGCCTGGGCCAGACCTGGGCGACAAGTGGCTCAACAGCCCCAAGTCCATTTCAGGGCAGGGCTCCCATGTGTAACCCCCCATGACAACTGGCCCCGAGGTCTGAGTTGGAGTGATCCAACAGATTTAACAATCAACAAACTCAACTTGCATTATTGTCGCAAGTTCTCCCAATCAATGAAGAGCAACCCAATGTAAGAGCTGCAGCAAACCCATTCCCCTCTGAATCGGGGCTGGACTGCACCTTCTATTCATCCCAAGTGGGGTTTGCCTGCACAAGCAACTTCCGGAACCTGCAGAGCAACCCAAAAAGCGAGTACCCGCAAAACAGACAGACCCAAACAAGCCCAAGGCAGACATTATCCCCAATAGCAATCGCCGTCGAAGTTGTTTTCTGTTTAACAAAACCAATAACAGAGAGAACCACTTCAGGTTGGACACTGAGTGAACGCCACAGGAACTCAAAATCTCCAAATGGCCGGCCCATCCCCCACGACTCCAGGCAAGGCACAAAGCTTCCAAATGTCGAGGGCCACGACCTGGGCACGAGAATTCCCTAAATCAGAGAGGACTCCACAAAAAGTCAAAGGGTCGCCTTACAAAAAGCCGCGCAGAGTCACACACACACGCACATTGCCCACAGGTGGCCCTTTGGAGAAAAGAACGATTGCCCGGGTAGATAGAATAAACCCAGTCACAACCAGTGCCAACCATTTCAAACCAAACTCACCTAAAAAGGACGCCTATGCCATTGTCACCTTTCAACATTTTCCAGCCTGAACAAGCCCAGCTGGGCGATGGCTCGGAGCTTTTTGGCTGAATGGTCGTGACTTTGTTGAAAAAGCATCAGACACAAATGGCGCCTTTTGGCCAATTCCCCGCCCTTTGGCCAAATTCCTTTGGCCAGTTTTCCCATGTCCCACAAGGACCAGTTAGAATCTCCGGGGGATTGCCAGCTCTCAGGTCTTTACTTCCCAGCTCCAGGCAACTTCTAGGTTTCAATCGAAGGCGAAGGCCCGGATCATATCATTCACATCGTTTTACTCATACAGCGCCTCCTCTTAAGCATTCGCCATACCCCCCCCCTCCCAAGGGACCTGTCGACTCTCTGAGCATCGCACGTATCATCCAGTAGTTCTAGAGCGCAACGAGTGCAACTGAAATCATTCTGCATGAAACAACTTCCCCCTGATGTATGTCCCTGTTCACTCGAGCGGTGCCCGCAAACCCACTTTGGTACCCACATGGCTCACATTTTAAGGCTTACGTTTAGCCCTCACCACCCACAACCACCAGGAGCCACCTAACCGGGCGCCTTCAGGACTCGGCTTCGATGCTTTGGGTACGCTGCGGCCACGCGGCCTTTCTCCCTTCGCGCGTCGCGCTTCGCGAGCTCGGAGCTCGGAGCCCGGATCACTCGCGTCGGCTTCACGAAAGGACTGGGTGCGTCTCAAAGCAGGGGAATGTGGACCCAGGATTCACAAACCCGTCCCATTCTTAGGGGGTGTTCCCTCCAAAAGTGATGAATCCCCACCAAAAGATCAGGGTGTATTAATCCGGGGTTAACATTAATGTCAACCTGGTGATAGCAAATGGACGTGGAATAAAGACAGGCCGGTGGCCAACAACAAATGGCACCTGGAATAAAATCAAGCACCCACCTCGGGCAACCCAACAAAATGGTTCAACAAGCAAAGCTAAACACATACACCAACAAATGATTCGAGCCTGCTCCCCAAAAAACGAAATGTTCAGCTTCCCCAAAACCCATGTTTTCTTACATGTCTCTTGTTGAAAACCTCCCCACAATCAAACCCACAAAGGCGGTAGTACTTCAGGCCCCCAATTTGACTGTATTTCAGGGGCCCTAGAATCAAGTCTTGTGCCTGGCCCCCTCTCGAGAAAAATACAACACGCCCAGTGTAATTACCTCTTAGCTAGGGAAATAAATAGACTTCGGCCCTAAACCCACGTTTTCTTACACGTCTATTTCTTAAAAACTGCCCACAATGAAACGTGGTAGTACTTCAGGCCCCACAGCTGGCTTTATTCCAAGGGCCCCTGGAATGAAGTTTTGGTGCCCCCTGCCAAAGTCTCAAAAGAAAGCTCCTGCAATACTAGATAAAACAAATGGAAACTCAAGTCCAGAATGAAAACTCAAATCCCATCTGAAAAGGAAGCTCCAGCAATACCAAACAGTTGAACTGGACCTCAATATTTTGTTCTAGGTGCCCCCACCGGGGGATCCGGGGGCTGGGGGGTGTCCCCCCCCCCTTTACTCATCCCAGGCAAGCAGTCAAAGGGCTTGATTCCCACTCGCGCTCGAGCGATTCCATTTCCGCGGCCACAAGCTCGAACATGCAACTTCTAACATGGGTCACTCCATTTCAGTATTCCAAGCTATGTTACAAGTCACTAGCTTTTTGAAAATTTCTGGAACCTTGTGATTCCATAGCTGCATTACCACATACTCTGATTCCCGGCTTTGCCTGGGCTTCTCTTCGTTTCCACACGCCCATGGTTTGGGCCAAGGGTTGGTATAGGGCTTGGGCTTTAGACGTTTGTTTCGGTGTATGACTCATGCGTGAGGTTTCAGGTGACCTTTTGGGGGTATAGTTGTCTTTGGCATAGGCTTTGGGTTTCGGGTCGTAGGATTTTGGGTGCAATTAAGGTGCAGGTTAAGCCTGTTAGATTTAGGAGATCTTGGTTTCGGCTTCTATGTTTACAGTGTAGTGTTTCGGGGGGTTCGGGTGACGAGGGCTGACGCTTATTTAGAACTCTGGTTAAGGGCTTGGGACATAGGGCTAAGGATTTAGTGTTTATGGACATGTCTTTTCTTGAAGGTACCCTTGCCAAGGATAGTCCAAAGGGAAGTTACAAGGAACACCACCGTTTGCGGAGTCCCCTGTTTCGACACATTCCCTTACAGCGAGTAGGGTCTTTCAGTGGGCTGGGGGATTCATCTTTTATCTTATTTCTCTGGTGGTTTTGCGTGATACCAACCACAAACACGGGTTCCTGAGCTCGACTTTCCTGTGATTTCGATCGGATCTTCTGAACATTAGGATGAACAGTAATAAGCTTGTGCCATCCACGATAGTTCGCCACGGGCCGCCAGCTTCTCAGTCCTGGCAGGAATGCCGCTCCAGTGCGGTCACGACAGTCCTTATACATTGAGTGGATGATGACCATCCCTACCAACCCGGTTATTTCGGACATATGCCAGCTGCCCGGTAAATCATCATGGGACAAGAAAGGATCGCGACTGTTTTGGATGTTTATCTTCAGCGGGAACGCGTGACCAACATTGGCAAAGGAGGATTGACCCTCCACGCGGGATTGAACCGCCCGCTTCACTTTTTTGCACTGGGCAATTGGTGTGTGGTTCTCGCATATGAGTGGCAAAATAGGAGGACCCGAAACATGGTTCCCGGCTTTCTTTGTCATTTCAACCAAGGTTAAAAGAGTACCGAGCCATATTACTTTGAAGGGCCGCGCCGTGCTCCCAAAAACTCAACAAATTCCACAACTATGTGTCAGTGCACGGGACGTTGCGAAACAAACCGGCTGTAACCCCCTAAAGCAAATCGAGCCCCACAAACCACTAGCTTCGCAAAAACACCCTGAAAGGGCCCCTTCAGTTCCATATTTGCATTTGGTCAACCGCACCGTGATTCCGTGATTTCATGACTAGGTTTAGCAAATACCTTGCCGTCCGGGCAACTTGTGCTGCGTGTGAAAAGGCAGTCTGTGGAAGAAACATGTACCCTACACACGTTGCAGGAATGCCAAGTTTCAGACTTGCAGAGTAGCTTCCCGTCAGTCCTCCCTTAAACCGACTTATGCATGATCGTGCATGAACTGCGCAATGAAAGCATGGACTGGAAGCGATCTTTCTCATTTTGACACGACATCTGGTGGCTGAGAGGCCCTGGAAAGCATGCCTTGGGCGACAGCCAAACTAGGCTGGATGAGAACCCGGAGTCGGATCAAGAAAAACCATCTATCGTGCACGTTGTCCACGTTTATTCTTTGTAACACCTTTTGGACAAGGACCTTCATTGGGGCAAAAACAAAATGCACAGCCCTGTCCTCGTCCGACGAGGAAAGCTCCGAACCTTGGCTTCTGAGGGCTTCACAAATTGTCCGTCCCGAGCGTGGCACGACAAACTCGGGGAGCCGCAAACTTGTTCCTTTCAGTTTCCTCTTCCAGCGAAACTGAAAAAGGGTACATTCACCTAGGAAATGCACAAGGTCATGCCGAAAAACATCGGCTGCAATCAAGCCTTGCGCTGCCTGGTGGTTCCATTGCAACCCTTGGCCTTTCCCACAACTGCCAGCACCTGCCATATGAGTTGACGAAGGGCCAGGAAACCCGTTTGAACAGTGATGGCACTTGGCTATCCAAATGGATCCCAGTTCTCTACTATACAGGGAAATAGAATCACTGGCTTTGATAAAAACACCCGCCAACCAAAGAAAAACCGTTTGCGAGTTCAGCAGGTCAGGCTAAAGCGGACCGGTTTAGACTCACATGAGGCGCTTGAGCCTTTGAGCGAAATGTCTCGGGAAACTCCACCTCCCCAAAACCGGTTGGCTTCTCTGGGGCCTGCCTGGTTAAATCATCCTGAAGGGGGGTCAGTATTTTGAGTCATACCGAATCATACCTGCTTAAGGTGCCACCAAAGACCATCTTGACCCGTGGCCATGTCCGTGACAGCTCCCGGCAAAGAAATAGCGGACGCTTCAGATTCGGCACCACTTCAAATTTTGTCAAAGGTCTTTTTTGTGGATGATTAAATCTGTTCAGCCCCCCCCTCCGAAAGCCGCACACGAAGCCCAGAAAGCCCACAGGATGGTTATTTGAGGCCTGGAAGGCTCGGGTTGCCAGCTCTAAGTCCCTGGGGGGTTGAATTGCTTGGGAGTTGAATGGACCTTACTTGACGAACCAACAGGTCTTTCCATCCTTTGAACAGTCATCCTTTGAACAGTCATCCTTGCTTGGCGAGGTGTTGCTTATTCTACAGTGAAACTATGTGGAAGAGGGCATCTCACCCAAACGGATGCGTCGAACAATTCCTCAACCAAAAACGGAATGGCCCCCTCCCTAATTTGGTATTTTCGAAGCCTCGGGGGACCTACTTTGCAGAAATCTGGGGCTTATTTCAACAGTGCCAACCAAACTTGAGCCTAAAGCTCCCCGGCTCCCCCCGACATTTCGTCCAGTGGCCAGGCTCTCGATTGGGATCCTCCTCCCGAATTCGCTCCAGCTCCTCCACATGCCGATCCGCGTGTTCTGCGGGGTGCCAACAAATTTGTACCAAACAATCTGAATGGTTCACGGGTCAAACATTTTCACACAAGCTTGTGGGACGCGCTTGGTGATGTATTGAGTTGGTTTTTGCCGAAACAAAACGATCCTGCCAATCAGTCAACATCCCAGTCAATAGGGCTCGGAACGGTGCTTCTTCGTTGGCCAATGGCTGCGCCTAGCTTGGACGATTGAACTACCTAGACTCGAGGTGCTTGAGCTATCCCTCTGAACAATCATCAAACAAAAGTCATCA